AAAACTTATTGATAAACGACCGGCCTTATTAAATGTCTTCCGGTTCGCAAATAAATGCGCGATAAGCTTGTGCTTACTCAGTCTTATAGGAGGCTCCTCAGACTCGCGATTAAAAATCCTACAAACGAAGAGAAAATATATGCTACTCAGAATAGCATTGATAACAAAAATGACAAGTCAATACAATAAGTATCTAGCATGTATTGAAATTTACCTTCTTAGAAATCGGCACCATGTGTCGACAGTTGAGCTAGTCCATATCCACGAAGACATAAATATGCCGGTGGAAAATAATGCAAGCAAATGCAGTTGCAGTTTACCTGTGCTAGGTCTCGAGTCCATTTTACATTCAGATACGTCTGCATACTTTGTCGCAATCGTGCATCTTTAAACAAATGTAATCACATTATTGTATTATGTAATTACATTTACAATACATTACATTTAGATAATATAATGTATTGTTTTATTAGATAATGATAATATAATACAGTATTTTACGATAAATTTGAGTCTAATAATCAAATATATTTATAGGAAATTTAATATATTTAATATATTATTTAATATATTATATGTAAAAGATATATTTTGAATACATACAGAGTGAATTTTAATGGATATTCCAACCACGGGAAATAAATTACCGACTGCAATTAGAATCCACGCGTAAGAGAGAATGAAATATTTATCACTCATGTTAAAACATTAGGACATCCATTAAGATTTATCCTGTATATGTGGATTTATAATTATATATTGAAATTCCCTTACATCATGTAACTTCTAAAGCTTTGTTGCCATTGCTGCGAGTTTTGAATTTCGTAAATATGACAGTAGAATGTAATAACAACAGCTGCAAGAGTACCTATAGAAAAGAGTCCCATTCTGACAATTGTCTGTTTTATCTTTGAACTTGCTCTTTCGGATATGATCTCCTGACTGCTTATTTTTAAACAAATAAGCGTATAGAGTCCTAAAATGCATACAACATTGTATATCATAGATGCAAGAATAATTGTTCAATACATTAAACAATAATGCATTAATACTCACAATTTAAATACAGAAAGCATTAAAAATGTGCAATAAAAATTTAATATTATTATCATATCGACATAAATGTATAAATGATAAGAAACAATATCTACCTCTGCATAGGAAATATCCTCCTATTAGAACTGCAAGTAATACGGGACCTAGCACAAAAATCTTCGCCATATGATCGGCGTAACCCACGAAGCAAATTCCTGTCATACTATTACCATCAATTCGGCCTAACGCCATGATTGCGACCGTCAAAACGAGTGGTATGCACCAAGCGATTAAATGAAAGTAAGCACTCTTTTTGTCTATCCGATCTTGTATCGTGCCAAGTGCTCGAAAGCTCATGTGCCAAGCATACGTCAATATGACGAACCATACTGCAGCTGCCATTAAAGAATAGTATACAAGAATGAAGACAATGACACACGACAGATTCTCTCCGCTGTAAAAATAAATATTTTATGAAATTAAGTCGACATCATTATGATAAATTTCATTATGATGTATTCGTGAAACATGCCTTGGCTCTCTCGTTCTTAATGTTCCATCTTTGTGACATATAACTACATCCCTACTGCCAGGAGTGAATTGAATTAGCCAGCCAATGCAAGATACCATAAAACAACCATTAATATAAAATATTACCAAAGCTGGATACTTGTTTGCACTTCTCCAATCTATGACAAATGTTAGCTGGAACGTGTGAATATAAAATATTAATTATATAATTAGCATATATTATTCATAAAAATAATGTTTTTATGCCACTTACAACGGTGAATAAATTGAAAGTACAGCAGATGCTTGCAGCCCATATAATGAATGAATGTATCTGATTATGTTCATCCGATGTGTATAAAGGGTCATAACATTGTGTTCCACAGCCTTCAACACCGTCAAAAATGGAAAGAGCATTATCAGTAGGTACAAGAGGTTTTAAACATTTGCCCGAGATATTAAATTTCAATTCCCTAATGTCATTCTGACATAATCGTGGAAATAATTCCTTATTATCACACTTTGCGAAACTCGGCCATATTGTATGATTCATCAACATCCTGCAGGGTCCTGACACCATCTTGCACATCTCTTGAGATGGTAATTCGACTGTATCATTAATGCATTTTGGCATAAATATTGAGCACAAAAATGGCTGAACGACTGCCCAGCATTTTGGCACATGCTTCAAAGCTTGCAACAAGTATAATTTTTCCTGAAAGTAAAAAGATGTATATAGACAAATGTAATGTATTCTCATTATAGAAAAACCAACGTAATATGACATATTATGTGATAAATAACTTGAGAGAAACATATTAAAAGCTAAAATAAAAATATATTCAAATACAGCTAAAAAAATTATATACTAATATAACTAACAAAATTAAATACAGTTAACAAATATTATTCTTATTGTTCTTAACTTCTTAATGTCGCTTACCATTATAGAAAGAAAAGCCTATGCATAGTAAGAGAAGAACTGAAGAATTATCTGAGACAATCTTAAATACAAATCTTGAGACTTAAATGCTCATGTTTATATAGGTGTAAAATAGTCTATTTCTTAGAAAGCTTTGCAATGCTAAGTTTCTAACTTACATGCATAAGTTTTTATAAAGCTTTATTGTAAAAAAAGATAAAAACATTATTAATACAAAAAATACATGAATAGTAATCTTATCTACCTCAACAATGTCTTGAGTTACGTGCTCTGGTATGAGATCCAATGTGGTAAAAGTATAAGGTAATTTCGTACCCATACAAGTACTTTTAGATAGTTGAACACATTTAGCAGGTCTACGACAGGCTGAGATATCCGGTGACAATTCACCTATAGGATATCTATCTAATCGATAATTGGGATCTTTAATTCTTTGATGCCGACTCATATCCTTCCATGTACTGTTTTCGCCATCGTCGTTAGCTGCAAATCCATGCTCCAGTTCCAAAGGCAAACCGTTGCAGAATAGCAGGCAACAGAGGACCAGCAAAAATATCATCTGAGAGTAAAAAATAAGTTTTTCACATTCAGGAAGCGATTTAAGAAAATACACTGTAATGTAAACAAAAGCAGAAGCGGTCCTTTTCCCTCATTTTTGAAAAGAGACACAAAAGAAACTCCATTTCCTTCTCTTTACAAAAACGCGACGCCTCTTCCACAAGGTAATGTCAAATTGAATAGTGATTAATTAATCTCTCACGAAACACAGAATGTCATGTGAGAATAAACGCGCGGTATAAACAAGAGACGTGTACCTTCGTGCAATCGGGCTCACGGATTGATCCCGGTTAACCATGAGGTAAAGTCTGCGTCTCGATCGTACGAAGCATTAAGCATCTTCTACGAGACAGCCGCACTTAAAGCTCACGAACCAGCCGGACCACACAACGCGTCGCGTTCCCGGTCGGCGTACCATGATAGACCACCCACGATGCGTCTCCCCCACGCCTTTCTCAAGTTTGAATGCACGCTACAGTCGGCCACGTGCATTGCTCACCGATGGCAGCACTACACCGCATCGTTACGTGCGAGGAAATCAAGGCCGAATACAGAGACGGCGGCAAGGAGAAACGAGGAATCATTTCGACCGAGATTTCAGCGCGAGAGTTCTCCCACTTCGCTCGATTTATATTTCGGAGTCATATAAAAATTAAAATAAAATGCTAAAATTGTTAGACTTTGAAAAAAAGATTTGAACTTTAAAATTTTAAAATTTTAAAAACTTTAAAATCTTAAAAGATTTTAAAAAATTAAATTTATACAATATTATTCAGTATTTCCATTAAAATTTTATCTTAATATTTAGACAAACAAGATATAAAAGAGATATAAAATGAGATTCGAGCGGTCAAATTAACAAAATTGTTAATATAAAAATTTAATTATTTTTTTTTGTTGATGTCCAGGAGTTAGTTTAAAATGTTAGAATTATGGCAGATTTTCACATAAATGTGTAAAATAAAAATTGTAATACATATATATAGAGCACGTTATATTTATCTCTATTTTTTACACTTCACAAAATTACATTATTAAAAGAATGGTCTATGTACATGTATAGTATTTGTAAATAATTATGAAAACTATTTACATTTTTCTACAGATTTAAAGATTAGCAGAGACTGTAAATACAAAAAAAATGAGCGAAACTGTGTAATATCTCTTTTTTCATTTATTTTATCGAAAAGATTTTATTTCTATGTTTTATATATTGGAAGGTCTCAATTATGTAAATGTATATACCTATATGTAACTATAGATACATATTATTTAAATTATGTTAATTTTTCTTTCACTAGTCACAAGCATGTAAAGAAATATCCAATATTTATTGCACAGGACAATTCTATATACAATTTCTAGTCTTTATATTTAAAAAAATTCTATCTTATTTCTTTCTCTCTCTCTTGTTAGAATTATTTGTCATACATCCAAGTTACTAAATTTTAATCGAGAAATATTAAGTGCAGTATTAGAATTAATTAGAATACTATTTTTTTTATATTTGACACTTTAAACAATTCATAATTTTTTTTATATTTTTCTATTGTTACTGTATAAAAACAATTGCAAAATACAAAAGCTAATCATTTTTGTCCACTCTATTAATTACTAATTACGTCTAATTCAAGGGTATTAAATCTGCAGAGAAGAGAGAGAAAGAAGCCTAAGTATTTTATCACATATGTAACTAGTATTGTAATATTTTTAGACCATACATTAAGTTAAAATCAATCATGTTTTAGAGTTAACCAAATTCTCAAATGACTTTCTAAAAAAGTATAACAATAAAAAAATTGAATCTTTGCGAGATATGAAAAAACGATTACATTTACGAATAAAATGCGATCTAGTCGTTTGCATGGACACACATAAAAGCATAATACATAGACACATATTTTTTTTAAGTTTTTAATAAAAATGTTACTAAAATTTATACGAATGATGCGTATAATATTACAATAGCATATCTTCGTAATTAATCAGTTATACTCGACTAATCAGTTATACTAAGAGCATTTATGTTTGCTAGTAAATCTTTAACATTATCCTGAACCTGATCCGAGGTATTGGATAAGGAAAGACGTGAGCAAAAATTGCTCAACGTTTCTACCTGTTCTCGCATATTCTTTTGCTTCTGCAGATATGCCATCAACATATTAATTACATTATGCATCTCTTCTTTGATCTCAAGCATATCCTCATTATTACAGTTTCGTTGTAACATTCTTAATTTCGTTTTCGCTAGTTGCAGTGGATTGTAACCATACGAATCTAATGCGAGAACATCAGTACCAGCTGTTAAGAGCAGTGTCACTACTGATAATTTGCTGTTAACCGTGGCTAGATGCAACGGCGTATTTCCTATACAGTCACGCTGATTCGGGTCTGCACCATTTTCTAGCAATAAACGGACTATTTCTGAATAACCCCTGTAACAAAGAACAAAGAATCAAACATTTAAACAATATTATTTTAGACCGTTGTGAGAACACAATCAATATTAGCAATTACAAAGCCTATATGGTCGAAGCTAGATCTTTGATGCTTTAATTACAGTTTTTTCAGCTTATTAACATCTTTAAAATATGATGCTTGATTGAGCATCAAAATTATTAGAAATTAATTTAATTCGCGAAATTACTAATGTAGTTTAATTGCGTTTATAGTTCGGATAAATTCGGTGCGCAGTTCGAAAAGACTACAAATATAGTATATATGCAAGTATATATATAGTATATTTAGTGATTCAAGATTTGAATTATTTAAAACATCAAAGATCTAGCTTCGGCCATATAGGCTTTGTAATTGCTAATATTACACATTTAACTTAAACCACTACTATTTTCACAATATCTTAAGGAAAATACATATTTATGACTTCATTAATAAACTGATTCAAGAAACTCTACTTTCAAACATATTGTTTATCTTATAAGAAAACATATATGGTACGTGTTGAGGTATGTGTTTTATGTTGTTTCGGATTATATTTTATATATATAAATTATACCTGCAAGCTGAAATATGAAGGGGAGTTCGTCCATGATCGTCGTGATTGTTAGGTGACACACCAAATTCCAAAAGTCTTCTCATCAAAGATACATTATTCGTCGTAGCAGCCAACCGCATCCTTCGTTGAATACGTTCGGTTTGCCAATCATTCCAGGCTACAGTTTCGGCCGTATAGGCTTTGTAATTGCTAATATTACACATTTAATTTAAACCATTACTATTTCCAGAATATCTTAAGGAAAATACATATTTATGACTTCATTAATAAACTGATTCAAGAAACTCTACTTTCAAACATATTGTTTATCTTATAAGAAAACATACATGGTACGTGTTGAAGTATGTATTTTATGTTGTTTCGGATTATATTTTATATATATAAATTATACCTGCAAGCTGAAATATGAAGGGGAGTTCGTCCATGATCGTCGTGATTGTTAGATGACACACCAAATTCCAAAAGTCTTCTCATCAAAGATACATTATTCGTCGTAGCAGCCAACCGCATCCTTCGTTGAATACGTTCGGTTTGCCAATCATTCCAGGTTACAGTTTGGGTATTCGTATTTTTACGCCATGTACGAAGGACACGTTCTCTTATTTTAGGGCGATATAAATCAGCTGCAATATTAAAATATTATATTCTTGTATACAATAATGTACTCCCACCAGGAAATTATTTGCATAAATTAATATTTGTCTAAATTCTAAAATAAAAATTTCTTTAAAAGATTTAAAAATATAATGCAGCAAAAAATGATTATTCGCTTTAAAAATTAAAATAAAAAGATACAAAATCAAAAAATCAGAATATATAGATAAATCGTAAAATACTCACAAGGTGTCGATAATTCGCTAATCTTGTGTTTATTCCGTATTATTTCTAAGGCCTGAAATAACACAATAATATTCTTCTAATTCAAGATTTATAATTATTATATCAACAGTTATTTTAAAAAAAAAATTGCATTAAAGATCTATATTGTTACTGACTTAAAATGTTTTGCTAAACTATCTTGTTATTTTTTTTTACTTGTATTTCTATTTGAAGAAACCTTCTGGACAAGCTCTAGCTTCATTTTACAACTCTCAACCATTTACTAATGTGCAACAGTATACAATAACAACAATAGATACCTCAGCGTTGATTTTAAGTAGCCTGTTCTTTTGCAACATCACAGTGACCTCGGACGAAGTCCGTCTGCTCTCATCAGGAACAAATAGAGGATGTATTAAAGCGGGCCAGTCGTACATGTCCAGATTGGGAAACTCTCCAATGGAGCTGGCGTCGACGGCCGTGACGCTGCTGCTGATGAGCTGGGTAGCGATGACCTGCTGTTGGTGACTCTCCTGCTGGATGATCGAGCTATCATTCGAATCGTTCCCCGTTTCCACTCCAGAGTCTACCGACGTCATGTTTACATTGCAGCACGCAATACTACCGCTAATACCGCTATGGTCGGGTAGCATCGTCTCTCGCCCTCGTGAATCCGCAACGTCGTCCATCGGTATAATTTGTCTCACGGAGAATTTACTATAGAAATTAACTTACGTACCAAGAACAAGAATAATGAATAACCGAATTTTTCGCTCTACTTCTGATAGTCTTGAGAACTCTGACCAACTCTAACAGCTTTCTTAACCACCTCTCCTCAAGTAATCACGGTACCTCTTCTTTGTTCCTCTTCGTACTTCCTAAGTTCCTACTCACTTCTGTTACCTAGAGTCCTCAAGTAAGAGATGCGCGAATTGAAATCGCTACGGGATTGGTTGATGACGATATTGCAAGAATATGGCGCAACCAATGGCGCAATCGTATTTTATTCCTACTTACATAAGATAAAACGCGACGAACATTCACTGAAAGTGAATTTTTCAGCTAACACTTATATAAATTTTAGTCGTAATCGTAAGATCGCAAATCAGCCAATCACAATCAAAATTACGATCTCGGGTTTTAAAACGCTCGACTGTGATTGGCCGATTTGCTTACGGCCTTACGATTACAACTAAAATTTTTTTACGCGTGATAGCCTTTATATGGCATAATAATATTTTATAATAATATTGAATTATTATTATCTAAATTTGTACTTACAAACATACAAGTATCACACACATATGACACATAATGGAGGCCGCCATGTTCTTGCAAATGCTAGAAGTTCGCGCATCTCTTACTTGAGGATCTCTACTATTACCTACAGGGGGTCGATTGTATATCTCAAAACGAGGTGAAAATTACAAAAGTGAGCAAATTTACTAGAATACTGATAATTTCATTGGTCAACACCTAGTAAATTTGCTCACTTTTATAATTTTCACCTTGTTTGAAGATATAGAATGGACCCCCTGCTCCTCGGCTCTTTTTAGAAGATAGAGAGAGTTTTTCCAACAAGAGACACTAAAGTCTCTATAATAAAGTACCGCCAGAGAGAAACCTGAGATGCCTGGTTTAAGATACATTTTCATGAGCTGCCCAAACCGGTTGTCTCAGCGACAAAAAGGATCGATTCGTATGTACATACGTGACCGGACAAAACCTCCGGTTGTAACAATTATTATTTTAAATCGTTTTTATTTTGTATGAAGAGTTTTGAAGTGCAAATAAAAAGGTTTGTGAGTCATTCTATTAATTACAATTAATCATTCTTTTTTGGACCATGTATGTACTTGACCGA